CCCTCTCGAAATCTATCGTTTTTGCGAAGAACGACCTCATCAACTTCAACAAAGCGAAGCCGGCAGCAACAAGCATCTGTTGGATGTAATTAGTGGCATACAGTAAGATATGCTGATTTGAGTCTTGAAATAGGAGGTCTAGAAAGCTTGTGATGGCTCGCCATAGACCCATAAGATCGTCCATGTAACCGGGAGTGCTACTTGAGTCAAAGAATCCGGCGAGGCGGAGATGGACGTTGGCGGCTGTTAGGTGAACCTCCACGATGGGCGATAGACGCTGGGAAAGGATCGATGCCTGTAACTCTTGGAAGTCCCGGCGGTATACTCGCATCAGCATTGCTCTGTGTTCGTCCCCGGCTACACCCCTGGGGTCGCTCGCATTGCTGTACATCTCTTTCGAGACTTTGTCACAGAACCTCTCTATTCTCAACCTGGCCTCGAGTTCGGGTGACAACGTGAAAGGTCCATCTTCTCCCGGGCGGATAGCTAAGGTCCAGTCATAAAGCGTAGTAGCCGGTTGGCCGTAACCCGTTCCGATTGACTGAGCAACGATGTTGCACACGGCCCAAGTAGTTACTCGATCATGAAGTTGGTCCTTGTTGAGCTCAACGGAAACGCGGGAGAAATCCTGAGTGTGATTCGGTCGATGTAGGCCTATACCTGTGGCGGCCTTCATCATCACGCCACATAATATATGAGTCGGATCGGCTGTCGTCGTGCTAGTCGGTAACGGCCAAGTACATAATAGGCAAAGGGCCTTGACGACGAAGTAACTATTCGGTACATCGCCTACGGTACCCCATAGCAATCTATTCAGAGGCCCGCTAGAAAGCTCGTGCAAGATACTAGGCTTGGGATGATAACGCCGCGAGGCTATGGCAATGATGGTCCAGAAAAGTAAGGCGTGTTGTTGATAGTAAAGGTCAGGTGACTGATGCTCGTTAAGGAAAGGGAGAAATGGGTGGTAACAGGTGAAGAATTCCTGAAATAAACCATGGACATCCTGCTCGGTCAGCCGCACTGTCTCAAGCTCGTAGGCATAATGGGTTGCGGCCAAGCTATACGACCCTCCTCGCTTTAGAGTCAGAAGGGAAGTGACAGCCTCATCGGACCCCATGAGCGAAGGATTTCGGGTATGCGAGTACGCACTATTTGCGACGGGGGATTGCAATTGAGATTGCAGCTCTTCATCATCATCCATTACGAAACCCTGCGCCTTAGCTTGTGCTATCTTGCGCCGTAACCGATCGATTTCCTTTTCCATCTCGGCATGTTTTGACCTCTTGCCGATGCGCTTGAAGTTGGACTCGATCTTGCACTCGAGCTTTAGACGATTACACCTCGAACAACTCTGGAACGGTTCTTGGACAACATCGCACCTCAATTTCTGCTGTCTGCACTCGTTGCACGCGCTGTCAAAATAACGTTAGCTAAGTATTGTGTGCATATTAGGTATTTACCAAATAGGGGTTCTGATATGTCATTTGAGTCAGTCAGGTGTTATTGTTTTCACACTTACCGCTTCACGCCGGGTTGTCTCTTCTTTTCGGGTTCGGCCAAAGAGTGATCTTCCTCGCCGATAGCGCTTCCTGGACTGCTATCGACTCCGATTCCTCCTTCGCTGCGCTTTCGCTTCATGGAGCCATGACGATGTACGCTCACTGGGCTGGTAGGGCTCGTGGACGGGGCCGAAACGGCGCCGACAACTGTGTGACCATCCATGCACTCTTCAATTGACAAATAATATCAAGCGGATCTAAGGTGACAAATGTGACAAGCCGTAGGATTGAGGCAATTATTTTCCTCCGTAGAGCTCCGTGCCGCTATACCGGCCGAGGCTGAGATTGCTCAGCTTTGGTCTGCGTCGAGGTCCGAGACCGATCACGGAATCGAACAATTGGAGGAGGGGTCTGGGCTAATAGCGATAAGAGGATATGATTTTTAGGAATTGGTGGGAGAAGGGCGGCTCTCAATGGAAAATTTGTTATTTTTTTTGCCGCTAACGCGGGGTGGCGGGCAACGCGTGGGAAAGTGGATCAACTAAGAATGTACTAACAAGGAGTTTTCAATTATTAGAAGAGAATTTTTGAATATGATTTGACTCTTTGTCAAAGGAGGAGAATTATAAGAGTCAGCAAACTACACCGAACTTAAAAATCAAACCCCTGAAGATTTTAAACATCGGCAGGTTCCAATTGACCAAGGGGATTGGATTGTATTGGATTAGATTGGATTGAATTTTTTAAAAATTTTCCCAATGATCGTAGGAATTGGAATGCACGTAGGGTCAGGTACCCAGATTACCTAACGGAAGGAAGGTACCTAAACAGCAAATCACCATCCCTCTAATAAAAAGAAGTGAGTTGTTCATTGTGCGAAGCTGCTTCCATCTCACGTCGTCAACTGCATACAAGTTGCATAGGACCCTCCTCGGCCGCCTTCCAAAGACAAGCACGGCGAGTAAAAATGAGGGGTAACGAGGTCACGCTTTACCTATCTTGGCTTACGGAATACTACTTCGGGAAGGTCATCCCGGTCCAAACGGTCAGGTGCTCTTACCCCAATTTGTTTCTTCAAATGAGATCCCTGACACCTAAGGGACACCATTATATTCACCTCGCAAATTATTGAAAACTCTCAATTGGCTTTGAAGAATTTTCACTTTGCTTTTGTGAAACGTTCCTGAAGCTTGAGTCTCATCAATTGAGTACACAGCCTTAAACAATTGAAGTGTTTCTCTTGGAAGCTGCTTCTTGCGAGCAGATAACTTCAAGTTCGGTCGAACCTAAATGAGGGTCCGTCATCGCTACCTGAAATACGTAGACTAGAGTCATAGCGTCTTAAACGCATGATCCGTGCTTTAAATTACCGAAGTATAAGCGGCATCTTCCTTCGGTTCCAGTTCCCTTGCAGCAATCCATCCATGGATTCAAAATATACGAACCCGTCTACAATACCTAATTCCTAGCCTGCCAGCCTATCACTTGATACCTCTTGATACCTGCATCGCAATAGGCTTTGAATTATAGACAACTACCCATGCGCATTTTTTGTGCTGCCAGGTGACAGGAAAATTATTGCAAGGTGGATACCAATGCCGTCCGAGCATCAACAGCCTTGCCAAGCACGTCGAGAGCTCATCAAGGGCAAACTACGACCACCGTCCAAGCCGGCCTCAACTAAATCTTATACCGTCTCCCCAGCGTTGAGCACCGAAGTTATGATAAGGCAGCCAGTCGAGAGGCAAGCAGTTCGTATGTGCCTATGGCCAATGAATCTGACATCGAAGCCTCATTTTAACATTGTCCCAGAGGCTCCCGTTGAGATCTCGTCTGCTGCGACAGCCCAGCCCTTTGTAGACCCCGCGGTTTTGGAGCGTCAGAGACACACCAGCGGCCCGCCATGAACACCCTGCAGAGCTCGTGGCTTTCAACTTGCAGCTGAAAGGCCAAGGTGAACCCACATCTATTCATGCTTTTGCTGGGAGCGGGAACTTGCGGCCGACTATTCCCAGGACCGGCATGCCGAGACAAAGGTTGACCTCCAAAGTGCCGAGACGCTGTAGCCTAAGCGGCTAGCCTAGGTCTTATACGCGTGATACGCACACCGAGCCTTAAGCCACACATTATATCATCCGTTTTGAAGGGGTACTTCCGGTCCGGACCTCTTTCAAGTATTCAAATGGGATGCATTACCTCTATGCCAATCCTATGCACTCTTCAGCCACAGTTTCACATTTGCTGCAACTCGTTTTGTCTCCGACTGACGCGCATATCCAGCTTCCCATGGTGGTTGCTTCAATAATGAAGCCCTACCAATTATGGCTTGAATTCGCTTGAAACAGCAACTAGTATCTATATCAATTTAACTTAGTTCGCCTGAAGCCTGGATATGCCACCTGCATATATGCGAAGGGACATCAGATACGGCAAATCAGCAGTGTCATAGGTTGTTTAGTAAGGTCTTTCAAATTGCTCTACCACTAGATTAGGTTTCCCGCGTTAGTGTATTGGCTCGTGAAACGCGAGCTATTGAGTTGCAATGCGAGGGACGAGTTGAAGAGAACCGAGCATGTGCTTTCACCTCCCGTGTCCGGGCTTTATCCCCGCCTATGAGCGGTACGCCGTCAGTAGTGTAACGAGAATCCCAACGTCTTCGAGGCGGTGCTTGCGCATGCGGAGCGCTCTATGGTGGTCTTTCGATGTTGTAGAACAATAGATGGCGATCACACCTTCGGGGCCAATTTGGTGCTAATGGTGTTATCAGATTGAGTGGCGACACTATCACATGCGGCCCCGAACGTGAATCTACGAAGCGAGGATAACAGGATTCCAGGAGAGCTTAATTGATGAGACCCGATGACCCGGGAATTGATCCTGAGGCTGACTTACCCCATGCGGTAGGAATAGCTGCAGCAGCATTTCAACATGAACAGGAGACCTACCTTAGGAATAAGCCTTACCAGGTTTTTCGGGGGCACACCGTCTGGTGTCTATACCGTGTCCTTGACTGATTCGCCCCGGGACTATGAGGATCCCTACCAGGTGTTGGCTTCTCATGGCGCGAGCAGAGCAAGCATTATGTACCGAGGGAGATCATGTACTCCCATCATGAGCATCATTAGGTATGGATTATTTTGAGCCAAGTTGGGCTCGATCGGAACCCAACTGAAAAATATCTTCTACTACTCGTTTAAGGGGTCAATTTTACGTTGGTCTTGTCTTCGGTAGGATCACTTCTGAGCATATCCAAGAATATGGTCGTAGCAAGCAACTACCAGTGGTGATTTTGGAAATTATTGGACAAGCTCTTTACCCCCGTTCTTTACTATACTAGTCTCATTCCGCCTTTCATAGCAGTTGAAGCCTATCCACATTGTAATAGCCTACTTCTCCACTTAGATACACGACTATAAGACATAAAACAATGCAAAATTTTCTCGTGTCAAGCCGTCCCTCGCTCTAGAGCCCACTCTGGAGTGACTCGCTTTGAAAAGGCCGCCCTTGGTAGTCTAGTTGGTTATGGCGTTCGGCTGTAAGAGTTCACGATGTCCTCTGGAATGAATTTCAGATGACGGGTTGATTATAGTCACCGAAAAGTCACCGGTTCGATTCCGGTCCGAGGGAAAGTTCACTTTTTGCAACTTTTTCTGTTTTGTAGGTAGCTTAGTAGCGACCCAAAGCCTACATGCCAGTTATGCTTAGTAGCTTCAGGCAAAAGGAATCAACCTAGTCTGACATATGAGGCACTTTTTTATGGTACTCATTGGTCCCCATATATCGTTAGATCGGAGTAGATATAATTTTCAGTATCAGCTTTATGCTTTGAAATACGATACAGACTATAAGATGTTCGAGCGGGTGACGCTAAAAACTGACCCCATAGTGGGGCTTCGTGCCCCAATTAACGCAGTGCTGGGGTTCGGTAATCTGATTAAAACGGAGAACTTCCCAAGGTTCAGATTTCAACGCGTTCATATATCCCGCTTTCGACTTCAACTAAAAGAAGACTAAAGATATCTTGTTTGCAACATCATCAAATTGAAAAGAAAGTTCCACGAAGGATAAGAAACACAGTACACCACGGGGTTCGCTGGTCATTATTAACTCGACTACTAATCCGGTAATGGTTATAGGTGTGACCGTCAAATTAGAATAGCGGGTGTTGTTGCAGTGCTTTCAACGGTCAGACATAAATGCATCTTGCTTTCTTACTTCGGTCTACGCCGTCCATAGACCTAAATTACGATCTTACAGCTCGGTGTTTCAAACCATTCCGGCCACGATCTAAAGCTGATGGGCGCCGTTGGAACAAGTTTATTGCGCACAGGGAGCCTCTTCGAACCCGTTATTAATTTCGACTACCAAAGGTGATCCCGGATATGGATCCGCTGTTCGTACCTAACTGGAAGCCAGCGTTGTTGTTTCCAAATGATATTTGTGTCAAGTTTTTCTGCCCTTCCCGGGTAACCCTCCTCGCTTCGTCCTCGTTCCTTGCCTTCAACCCCCCCGAGCAACTTGAGAGACTGCTGCAATGCCGCCCTCTCATGTTCCAATGGCTGAGGCATCTAGTTGAGTGTTTAATGTGGCAAGCTGTCAGTCTGCTGCGGTGATGGAGTTGGTAATTTCCGCCTCTTGCATCTCTTGGGAGATAGGTTTATCTCAAATAGAGTAGTGCCTGGGTCATCTGTTAGATCTCGGCTGTTCATTGTCAATTTGGGAGGATATACTGACAAGGTCGCCGTGCTGGTTACTAAGTTCAGGGAGATCTGATGCCTTTGAAGTTGCTTAGACATGGATTTAATGCGGCTCTGTTTCCAGAATCCCACGGTTGCTCGGTCCTGCCAAGATAGCCTTCCGCTGCTGGAGTGCTTTGTCCAACGGTCTAGGTCGGCTTTAGGTTTGGTACATGAATCTTTACAAGAGGTTATAACCATCTTGGATTTCTCAACACCGGCAGTGATACTGAATGGATCACCCATGGCGATCGGCATAGATATAGAATGGATGTGGCAGGATTTGAGTTCATGGATGTTGCCTAGAGCCTTGCCGTTGCGGCCAACTAACTACACAGCATATACATCTACCGGGGCGTGAACAACCATCATTAAGCTGATTAAGCGGTACATGCTATTTATGGGCAATCTAGGGCAACTAGATTTGAGGTATTCAGCCACTCTGATTATGGCTAGGTAGCGGTCCGGGATGTATCAGGGTTGATTTTCCTCGCTTGCATAGAGGCCCATGGAGGCCTCATCCTTCTTGGTAGACGTCGAATGGTACACAAACATTCCATTCCACTCTCCTCGAGATTTATTCTTGCCCAATCTTCATACCACATCGAAATGCAGCCATAGCTTTATACGATGTCGGACCAGACGAGAATGACTTTTGGAAACGGTAGTCACGGCTTCCAAGTGGGACGAAATAGGTAATCTAGCCTGGAACTATTTGGAACATGGTTGATGGAAAGAAGCCGAAGAACTACACTTAGAGATATTGGAAGTACGTCGGAGGCTATTTGGTGCGGAGCATCCCGATACACTGACAATTATGAGAGCTTTGGCGATTACTTGGGAGTCGTGTGGTCGTGTAGATGGTGCTATTAAATTGATAGAAGAAACCTTCCAAGGGTCTAGCCGAGTTCTGGGGCCTGACCACCATTGGATCGAAGAAGCACGACTCACTTTGAACCGTATGCGTTCAGAAAATCGGAACAGTAGGCACGATAACGAGGAAAGCAATTGCGCCCGGGAAATTTCAGAATCATAGTCACCAGAAGAGTCAGGAGAGGCGTTGCGAGATTCACCACGACCGGGACGGCCGTTACGGTAGTAAAGAGAGCAATCGCGCTTGGGCAAAATGTCCTCGGTGCCGCGGCGAACTTTTGGAAGATTGATAAGGCAACACGGAGGCTGGTTGTGTTGGGGCGAGGAACGCCACCAAGTCGTGCATTGAGATTTGGTATTGCAGTTTGCAGACAGAAGCATATAATAGGTACACTGCGAATCCCCTGGAGTGTATGCTTGTGGCTAGACTCCTAAAACTGTGACTTAGAGATGGCTGTATTCCTACATCTACAGGTCCTAGATGCGGTGTGTTTGAATCCTATTTGGGCAACATACCTAGGTATCTAGGGAGACGTTAATGCTTCTCCATAATATCTTCTGACACTTCGTATACCTAAAGAGAAAAGGGTAGGGCTGAGAAACTCGTACAGCTCGTAGTCGATCAAAATTATTTCGCTTGATCCACCCCGTCTCCAAGCATGCCTAGGGCCCTGCTACCTTTGCATACTATGTCTAGGTTAAATCTACCCTAGCCTTTTCCATGTCATCTTGTGAACGAACCCCTGTTCTGTGGTCGCTCAAAGTTGCGGGATAGCCAAATCGTAAGCTGGAAGCTGGAGGGAGAAAGGATGGGCTCAAAACTTAAATATCATCTGAGTTTTTGATGTATGCTTCGACTATTGTTATTCTCTTGGTCGTAGTTGAGGGCAGATAGAAAGGCCAAAGAAGTAATGGTATCAAAAGCTAGACAATAGAATGCGAACTTCCAAAAAGGCTTGAACTTTTAAAGCGTAGGAGAGATCGATGCTACGCGTTAAATTATTCGCGCCATGAACTATGACCTCTATTAGTAGAATAACGAGTTCATGTGGGGAGTCTCTATTTGAGGGTATGTATGTTGCGAAGGCATGATGTAAATTGCCGATAGCGTACTCTTCCACGTCAAAGGACGTAGACCATGGCCTGCCGGTAAGTAATATATATTAAAACGTGTATCGAACTGTAGACGTTAGATAACAACAGGCGTCACGAGCAAGAGTGGAATTTTACAATCTGGCAGTGAATCTTTCTTCAGATTAACACATCCGAGCATATACGTTCTAGCCACGCCACCAAACCCTCAACCCTAAATACAAGGTACACTCCAAGCACCTCATCCAAACATCGTCAACTCATCAGTTTGCTCGGAATCGTAGTCAAGCCAGCCCAGTCAAGCAAGCAAGCCCGGTCCAGCCAGACCAACTCGCCCGCGTAAAGAACCCAAGTTACCCCATCCTCTTTCCTATTTCCTATGCCTTCGTCCAACGGCCAGAGATCCTTTCAAATGTAAAGTGGTGCCAAAATACGAAAGACTTTTTTCCCTATTCCCGCCCATTAATGATGAATTAAAGAGCCCTTGAAACCCGAATAATGCTACAGGAGTTTTACAATTTGCCCCTGACTCTTCGCCCCCTTCATTATCTTACGTCCGTACCAGGTGACTCAAGGCGATGTCCTACGAGCTCTGAACTTGCTCCCTCCTCCGGGCGTCCCCGAGGGGTTCCGTCCGCGTCCACTAAAAATGCGCTTCAGTAAACCTCCTTGAGGTCTTCCCTCCTCATGCTCTTGCTCATATTCATGATCACCAGTCATACCCTCGTACACGGCATGTGGTGGTCCTTGCCCCTGCGCCTGGCCCTGTCTCTTCTCATGCTCATGCTCATCCTCACGCTCCGGTTCGTGCTCCCCCTCCGAACCAGCGTCCTCGCCCTGGTACTCGTACCACAGACGCGGGACCAACAACCTGTATGGTACAGTAATACCCGCAGGATCCTTCGGATTAACTTCAACATTCAAACACACATCCAATCCGCCCTCGAGATCGACCTCGAACCGCTCAGCGCCCTTCTTCAACTGCTTGGCCGTGAGCCCCGTGGGTGTACGATGGAACGGGCGCGTCGGTGGGTACGCCTCGTCCTCATCAGACGGCGGCTCGTAGAAGTCGCTGTACTCATTCCTACTACTACCCGCGGGCTGCGTGAAAGCACGGCGCGGCGGACGCGCCATGAAGTACGAGTCGTCGCCGACTTCGTACTCGTCGTTGCGCCGGGAGTCGCCCCCTCCGCCGCGCAGCTGGCCTATGCGGACTGGGCCCGACATGCCGCTGAAGTCTGGCGCGGGCGCGTAGACGGCGGGTCGGGCTGCTGCTGTTGAATTCGCGCGTGCGCGGCGGGCGGGCGGGGCTTCGTAGATTGGTTCTTCTTCCTCGCTGTCCGGGCCCCAGGCCCCGTTGATGCCGCCGTCGTCGGGCCGGTCTGTGCTGTGGTTATTGCGGCCGAACACGTCGCCGCGCGGACGGGAGGAGTCGCCTCGGCCTAGGGAGAGGGTTCGCAGTAGCTTGTTTGGCCGAGACCCGCCGTCTGACGAGGCTCGTCGTGAGAATGAGCGGAATAGACCACCGCCGGAAACGGGTGGGCGCGAGCGGTCTACCGAAGCATGCGAGGTGTTCGGACGAGCGGCGGGACCTCGGCTCTTGGACAATGAGAACCTACGGAAAAGTCCGCCTCTACTGCCTGGAGGAGTACCTTCAGGGGTGATATCGTAGTCCTCGGGTGGCGGAGTTGGCGGTGGCGTCTGTCCCGGTACGTACTCACGAATAGAGCACCAGTTTCTATGGGGGAGAAGACGCTTGTTATTGCGAGGCTTACCATCGACACCATTAGTGAAAATAGGAATCATATCCTCGTCGGTCTCCTTGTCAAAATGGTGAATCTTGTTCCGTTTGTTGAGTATATCGGCCATAATATCGGGAGGCGGCGTATTGGCAATGGCAGATGATATGATGTTCGGCATGTACCG